AGTTTTGCCTCTTGTATCAATTTCACTGTCGTTGCTAGTTCATTCAGTGGTCCATAGAGTTTACGTTCCATTGTTGTTCTTTCTGGCCAAAAGGTTTGCCCTAATGTGTCAAATTCGGTGCAGTCCTGGAGTACATGCTCTGCTGTCTGGTTCACCTTTCCACAGGTGCACATGGCTTATACACTCATCTTGAATTGTGTACATATGACAAACATATGCAGTAAAGCAAACCAAGTATTGGGACAGCTAGCCCCCCTCTTACAGCATAAGACAATCCCAATCAGCACAAAGAGACATCTTATTCAAAGCATATTTATTCCAACTGTGTGCTACCAGTGCCAGACATGGTCACTCACAACAAACCATAAAAGAAAATTAGGAACCATGGAAATGAGATGCCTGAGAAGGGCAGTAGGAGTGACCATAAGAAATAAGATTAGGAATGAGATCATAAGAGAAAAAGTCGGCACAGAACCAATTCTAAATTACATACGAAGACAGCAAGTGAAATGGTTTGCCCACTTAAAGAGAATGCCTTGTGTCACCATACCATACAAAGCATACATGGAAAGAGAAGAAGGACGTAGAGCACGGGGTAGACCAAGAACAAGATGGAAGGATAACATCAGAGAAACTCTACAACAGCACGATGTGCCTATGGTCGAGGCGGCCAGAAGAGCTAGAAACAGAACCTTATATTTCCTCGACTTCCACAGCGGTAAAAGAGGAAGTGAAGAAGAAGAAGAAGATGACAAACGTGAGAAAGATTTTGATGGTCGAGTAAGAAAACAATGGTGAAATGAGTCATCTACATTTGTAGCGATTATATTAGCACTAATCAGCCTTTGTTTTGTCTATTTCAGAGTGCTGTCTTTAAATTCTACACACAACCGTTATTATAAGAGCCATTAATTTATGGGTTTGTTATTTTTACTTTGCCCCGCCACTTTCACTGTATATTCATTTACATTTTGTTATAACCCAACCCCCTGTAATCCTTATTTATTTATTTCCACAACTGAAGACAAACCGGAAGCAGCCTCGCTTTGATAATAAACATGATGGCGTCAATAATCCATTGATCATTGATTTGTACGTGGTCTGAGAGATCTCTTTTATACACAACAAATCCGTTTTATTTCAGTTTCATGTACATATAGAACCAGTGAGTGAATTAAGATCTGTTTTTGACATCGACTTCGGAATTAACTTAGTTTTCAAAATTGCTAAACTAGTCGAAGGAACTGGCATTATTATTTTAAATAGTTACTTACGTCTCTTTCTCTTGGTTCTTCTGGTTTGCATTTTAAATCATTTTTCTTATTATTAATATTAAATTATTGTCTCCTGTGTTGCAAAGGGCTATGTTCTTTTTGTTTTATAATTCAAACTGGGTACTGGGTCGATCTGAGAGCCGTCGCTCAAAAGAAATTTCTGCTTATTTGAATTAAGATTCAACCACATAAAGTTAAATTAAATATCCCAAGCATTTCATTTCAAGCAAACGCAAAGCAAAGTTTCATAGAAGTAGTAGTAATACTAATTATACAATATTCTGATCAGTCTGTCTCAGCTGAGGTGAGAGTAAAGTAAAGGACCCTTTTCCCCACCTTCAGACGTATTGAACATATAGGGCTAGACCTATATTTTTTAGACTAATCAGTATCAGCAGTTGGTGAGTTATTACCGTTATGCTAGCCGCCTTTACTTCCCCTCATTTTTTACAAAAAATGTGGCTCCATAAGGACCTGAACCCACGACCTTCTGATCTGCAGGCGAGCGTTTAGCCACTTCGACAGTGGTTCCCTGAGGTTAGACTGTTACGATAATAATGTATAGAGCCAGTAATATGTGGAAGTGAACCATGGACAGTCAGCAGATTAGTAAAAATAAATAAATATGTGTTAAATGTAGAGATATGGTTTTGAGAAAATAAAACTTTGCTTTCATAAGTGTAAGAAGATAATCCACATCCTTTAGGCATTCCAGAGAAGGGAAAAACTGGAGTACAGTATGATTATAACAAAAACATTGAAGAGGAGGAGAGACTTGGGGAGACTAAAAGAAAGCACTGTCTATATATATGTACCGCTTTTTAAGGTGTTGGGGGTTGATGAGCTTGAGGTCATTTAAGGTCACATAGCTGGTGAATTATGCGGGTTATAGATGTCTATTTTTTTTTATCTATGACAGTGAAAATAATAATGGCATCCTTCAGTCCCAATGGATTGTGGAGATGTGCCGCTGGCTTTGGGAACAGCATCTGCTGTGACTGTAAAGTCCAATGTGGGATTAGCAGTCTCTGCCACATACAATACAAAAAAAAAAAAAAAAGTAGATACAAGTGAGTACAGTGGAAATCCTCTTCTTCTTTTTCTTCTTCTTCGTGTTCACCAGCAGTACACTCTGGCGGAAAGTTCTGGTTGCTCGTCCACTACTGAACTGCAGTCCTGCTCCAGAACCTGAGCGTTGCGTGTGCATCAGTTTTACAGATCTCATTCTCTTGAATACAGACTGTTGGTTCCTTGCCTCTCCGGCAGATGCACTCCAACTTCAAAGGAAGCTCCCCAATTAGTCGACTCTTGCGACATGCTTTTGGGAAGGCAGTGGGTCTATTCTTGTTTTCCCCACAATGGGGCCCCAGAACCCACACGGTGGACAGTGGAAATAAATCTTCAACTTATCATTAATTGCAAAGATGTACAAGCATTTTCATCTTCTACCCTTTATCCCCTGTTTGAAGCCTGCATTCTCAACCAGCTTAATCAAACCATCCTTGGGAGGGGGGGGGTGGGTGGGGGGGATTTCCTGTAGGTCCCACTATAGGCACCAGGTAATGTCTTAGGTAATAAAGCTGGTCTACATGATATTACTAATCTTCTGATTCGTCTTTTGATATAATAGGAGTGGGACTGTGTACACTTTAAAATATGTCAATTGGTCCCTTTGTGTTATTTTTAAAAATATAAAAATTAGTACCAAACATCTAGTGATAAGTCTTACAGCCAGCATACAGTTGACCAAATCAAGTCCTTTTTCTTTACAAAATCTTAAGCTTCATACTGTATCTCCAATATGTAACTCAACGTAAACTTGCCTAGTGAAACCAAACACCCAGAAAATGCTGGGGTTTGTTCTGCAGTGTCCTGTAAAGAATGAAAAAAAACTTACTACGAGGGGAGGTCAATAAGTAAGTCACAAAGGGTTGTTTAAAAAAAATAAAAATACAAAAAACAAACAAAAAATAAAGATGATAACAACTTGAAAACTTTTTTTTTTTTTACACATACACTGTCCCTCTATTTTTCAACACAATTTCCATCAACATTGATGCACTTGTCACATTGTTTTATCACACCTCGCAAACCTGCTGCATAGAACTGCGTGCTCTGTTTTTTAAACCATATTTTCACTTCACATTCAACTTCTGCATCATTCGCGAAATGACTCCTGCCAAGGTGGGTTTTCAGTGGACTAATGGGGTGGAAATCGCTAGGGGCTAAGTCACGGCTGTAAGGTGGATGTTTCAGGTTCTCACCCTAGATTTTTAATGTTCTCCCGAGTTAACTGAGCCGTATGTGGTCTGGCATTGTCATGAAGGAGCAGTACTCCTGCAGGCAGCAGGCCTGAAATTGCCTCAGGAAGCATCGATAGAACTTTACAGTAGGAATCAACATTTACATTGTCACGTCTTTTTTAAAATAGGTTAAAAGCACTCCTTGACAGTCTCAGAACACTGTCAGCATAACCTTCCCTGCTGATCGCGAACCTTGAATTTTTAAACACAAGTCAAAGAAGGATGTTTCCATTGCACTGAAGCAGGCTTTGATTTGGGCTGGTAGTGATGCATCGATGATTCGTCTCCAGTAATAATCCTTTTCAGCATGTCTTCTCCTGCATCTGCTTATCGACAGAGATGCTGCAAGGACAGGCCTAATCGATTCATTTTGTGTTTGTCCGTCAGTTGTCTGGGTACCCACCTTGAGCATACTTTCTTGAACTTCAATCAGTTCAGTTATGTTGTATGCTGAACCGTGTGAGCACCCTAATGCAGCTGCTACAGAGTCAGCCGTTACTCGCCTGTCACCTCTGATCATCTCCACCCGCTGCACGGATGCATCTGTTGCAATCTCAACAGGTCGGACTTTATCAACAAATTAAGAACGTCCTTGATAATTTTTTTAACCAGCTTTTCACTGCTTTATGGGATAAAAATTTGTCAGCATAAACAGGAAACATTTCCTTATAAATGTCCTTTGCAGGCAGCCCCCCTCTCCCCCCCCCCCCCCCCTGAAAATGCACAACAGCACACTGTTCTTTGAGGGTGCACTCCGTAAGTACAGTCACCATTTTGTTTCTCGGTTACGAACGCACATGCAACACCAAGCACCACCTAACCAACGGAGACATAAAGTTCAATGTTGCTGTCACCTAATGACACCTTTAGAAACCACCAACTACACTTTCTTGCCCTCCTATAACTATTTGTAACTTACTTATTGACTTCCCTTCGTAACTGAGTTTACTAAACAAGTATGAGGAAATAATTAATCAGATACTGTGAGAATACTAGAAAAGATGAAGAAATAATTGGACAAATACTGTGAGATTACTAGTTAAGTATAAAGGGATAGTCAAATACTGTGAGATTACCAGTTAAGTATGAAGAGATAATTAGTAAAATACTTTGAAATTTCTAGTCAAGTATATACTGTGAGATTACAAGTTAGGATGAAGAGATAATTAGTCAGATATTATGAGAAATATGTGGAGTATTTATTAAACACTGTTAAGATTAATATAAAAGCGCCCGATTCTCCCAGATATTCAGTGTATGTGTCTCTACTAGATGACTTGTGAAGGACCATGTGTTTTGTGGTGATTTACTACAAGGACAGGCATCTGTGTGGATGGGCTTCTCAGAGCAGACTTATTTTCAGAACTGTGAACTATTGCTAAATACGGAAGGATAATCGATTGCTTATGTATTCATATCGGCTATGGCATCTGATACACTTGCTCAAGTCATCCAGTGTTTAAAGAAGTTACCAAACACACGTACAGATGAAGTGAGTATTATGCTTTGTTGTAAATAATGATAATGTAAATGGCCATTGTCACAGCTTTAGGGCATCGAGCATATATTCCTAGACCAATATTTTTATGGGTCGATCAGGTCTCATGGATTATGTGGTCAGCAGCATGCATGTCTCATTAACTTGGCTGGACAACACCTGGTACATGTTTAAGGCTGGCTCAATTTAGGAGCAAAAGTCAGTTTTGGAAAGGAAACCAAATCTGCCTTGATTTGAACCCTTGACCTTTGGGACGGCAGTCAAGCACCTAGTCACTACACTACTGTGGCTTCTTTTGGTCAAATGTTAATTCGTCCTTGCAGATCTGGACGAGGGTTGGACGACTTAGTTCAGTTGAGTGGGAGTTCTCTCCCTCACGAAACAAATGACATACTTACCTATCATCATACGGTTGCGTGTAAGGTTGCGTACGGTTGCTGTTAGGGTTGCGTAGTCATCATACGGTTGCGCGAAGGGTTGCGTGGTCATCATACGGTTGCGTGTAGGGTTATACCTATCATCATACGGTTGCGTGTAGGGCTGCGTACGGTGTGGGTTAGGGTTTAGGGTTAGGGTAGGCTTAGATGTGACAATTTTGACGTAGGAGTTCCAAATACTGGCCGACAATCTGATGCTTGTGGGAGTGGCGCCACTGGAAGTCTGTCAAATATGACCGCAATAGCGCGCAGCTAGTGCCCAACCGGTGGCGACGTGTCCGTGTCAGTAGCATCCACAGTCCGTCGACTGTTTGGGTGTGTATGTGACAGTGCGCGATTATTGGGAATTCCTGCGTCGTCAAAATTGTCACATCTAACTCTAAACCTAACCCTAACCCTAACATTACCCCTAACCAACACCCCTAACCCAAACCCTACGCAGCCCTACACGCAACAGCATGATGGACCACACAACCCCTCAGGCAACTGTATGATGACTACGCAACTCTACAAGCAACCGTATGATGACTACGCAACCATATGATGACTACGCAACCCTACACGCAACCGTATGATGACTACGACACCCTACAAGCAACCGTATGATGACTACGCCGCAACCCTACACGCAACCGTATGATGACTACGCAACCTTACGCGCAACCGTATGATGATAGGTAAGTGTCATTTGTTTCGTGACTTTTCCGCTCACTGTTTCAAGTGCGGCCAAGGGAGAAAACTCCCACTAAACTGAACTAAGTCGTCCAGTCCGCATCCAACCCTTGTCCGGATCTGCAAGGAGAGCCGTTAATTCTTTTACCCTGTTACTGTTTTCACGCCATGCAAATTAATGTTTGATTGGCTATGCCTGGCATGTTTCCACAGGAAATTGGGTTAGAGCTTGCGGAAATTCCTTTTCCATCAGATAAACATTAGATAAATATCTGCTCTAGCATAGGTCACAGATGGCACAGTGCCCTTGAGATCTTTGTCAGTGTCCCTGTTTGTCACATGTGGCCAGTAAATTACCTGAAGTCTACGTAGACTACCACTCCCTCATTTGAGTTTGCCATCATAGCAGATGCAGCCAGAACCAGCAACACAGCTCTGTTGTTCCTGGGGACTGACATTTGCATGTGACTAACAGATGGCTCAGTCAGAAGGATAGAGTGTCCTAGATAAAAGACACGAGTGTCAGAACATTCTGGGCAGAGTTGGAAGGTGATGAGTATTTCAACCTACTAACAACATAGGGCACACATTCTTGTGATGGGACATAATTGGCATTGTTTGTTTATGATCACTAGCTGTCAACTGCGGCATAAAATCTTGGTTGTTTGTAAATTTTTGGCCTTTGGCTTTGCTCCAGGACTTGAGTTTTGCATGTGCATCTGTTTTACAGATTTGGCTTATTTGTATGCAGACTGTTGGTTCCTTGCCTCTCCGGCAGGTACAGTCCGACTTCGAAGGCTTTACAGCTGGTGGTATGTTAATTGTAGCCTTGGAAATTTCCAAAAAAAATGTTGATGTCCGCTGTTAAAATGATCTTATTCCCTTCATTGATTCTTTTATAGGCAAGAATTATTGTTTACGCAATTGTTTATGTGTATTAACAGTAGGATGGATCTGGAGGTCAGTTCCTTTTACCAATTCAGTTACCTTCTGCTTCTGTTGGCTGTGGACTATGGGGGAAAGTCCTTGTTGTTTGTCCACTTCTAGACTTTGGTTTTGTTGCAGGACTTGAGTTTTACATGCACATCCATTTGACAGATCTGGCTTATTTATGTACAGACTGTTGGTTTCTTGCCTCTCAGACAGATACATTCTGAATGAAAGGACTTCAGTTACTAAGTACCTGAGCTTCTTACCAGAAAAGCTCAAATTGCGTGTAGTCTTACCTCTTTAGTTTATCATCTCAATAACTGTGAGTAGATGAATAACTCTGACTAAAACAAACTTCATGATTAAAATTTTTCTAGTGCTTAAAATATTTCTCTTGAAATAAACAGATTAGACCTGTAGTGGTTTCCACAGCTGGTGCTGTTAGACCTGTAGTGGTTTCCACAGCTGGTGCTGTTAGACCTGTAGTGGTTTCCACAGCTGGTGCTGTTAGACCTGTAGTGGTTTCCACAGCTGGTGCTGTTAGACCTATAGTGGTTTCCACAGCTGGTGCTGTTAGACCTGTAGTGGTTTCCACAGCTGGTGCTGTTAGACCTATAGTGGTTTCCACAGCTGGTGCTGTTAGACCTGTAGTGGTTTCCACAGCTGGTGCTGTTAGACCTGTAGTGGTTTCCACAGCTGGTGCTGTTAGACCTGTAGTGGTTTCCACAGCTGGTGCTGTTAGACCTGTAGTGGTTTCCACAGCTGGTGCTGTTAGACCTGTAGTGGTTTCCACAGCTGGTGCTGGGAATGTTTTGTAAGCCTGTGGAAATAAAGTCCCTTTGTTTGTTTGTTCTCTTATCTGTTGTGAAATGTAAAATATATGAATGGCTTGGTCACATGGTATGGGTGGGATTAGAACAGACATAATCCTTAGTTATGGTAATCATGTGGAATGGCAAGCCATGACTTACTACACCTTTTGTTTTTTGCATGTCACATGATGATGATGTTTGTGAAATCACATACAGATCATGCTGAAAGTAATTATATTTTCCCCACCGATGCAATAGATATTTGTTTACATGTTTACCATTATTCCATTAATATAAAAATTAAAATGTTTTTTTTTTGGGGGGGGGGGGGGGGGGGGATGGGGTTGAATGTTATTAGTTGAAAATAACTGACTCATGAAGAGAACTTATTGCACACATCAGGAGACAGTCTGACTTATTTGGTCATATTGCGCAAAGGAGAAAACTGGAGTACGTCATGTAAGTGGGAAAGTTGGAGGGGAAAAGATGCCAGAGAAACAGAGAGAGAAGATGATGGACAGTTTAACATCAAGGCATGGAAGATCATCTGTGTCAAAATTGGAAGTACATGAGACCTTTAGTTATGGACAGACATGACTAAAATGCTACACTGCATTGACTATAAGAAGGAGATGTACAAAATAAATAACCGTAAAAATGTCATGTGTGATAGAGGCTACAGATGATTAGAACAGAGCGAATCAGAAATGAGGTCAAAGGAGAACACGGCTGTGTAGAACCATTGGCTACTATGAACCTCTTTTAACTACAGTGAAAAAGCCAAAAATGCAATGGTATGGACATGTAATAAGATCTAACGGCCTCTGAAAAAAAAAACACAATAATGCAGGGCTCAGTAGGGGGAAAGAGGAGAAGAGGCAGACCAAGAAAGACCTGGTTACAGTACCTGACTGACTGGACAGGCCTCAGGCATGCAGTCATGAAGTCCATCACAACTGACCATTAAAGATGGAGAGAACTGATCAGACAATCAACAGAAACTGGTGACCCAACGACATGCAGTGTTATGGGATGATGTGGGGATGATGATAAGAACCAGTTCTGAATCACATAAAAATACATCAGATGTAATGCTTTCTCAGCTTAAGCAGTTGTCTTATTGTGCACTACAATACAAGGCAGGTAAAGGACCTTTCTCCGTACCTTCTTGGCGCATTGGGCATATAGTGCTAGACTAATACTTTCTAGACCAGCCAGCACTCGATTGGAGATGCATATACCAAAACAAAAGAGACAGGTGTTCAGTGTGAGGTAGACAAGAACAAGATAGTATCAGAAAAGTTTGAATTAGAACTCTGTGTGTCCCTGTCTGTCAGCTCTGTGGCTAAGTCGATGCAAACGCTTCGTAATGCCGGGGTACAGGGTTAGATTCCAGCTGCAGGCCATATGTCTTGCGTTGGTTTTGACAGTGATATCAGGGAGCCGACCGCCCAGAAGCAATGGCAAACTACTGGACGTAAATTTGCCTAGTGAAACCACACAACAGCCAGGGGCTGATGGATTTAGTTCTGCAACGTCCTGTAAAGGATACTCAACTAACCTAACCTAGTATCCCTGTCTGTGGCTTAGGCATTGTAAACGTGCTTCATAATGCTAGGGTGCTGGTTTTGATCCCAGCAGCTGATGATTTGTCTTGCCTTGGTTTTGACTGTGGTACTGAGAGCTAACCGTTCAGAAAGCAATGGAAAACTACTAAATGTAAAATTTGCCTAGAAAACCACAACAGCCACACAAAAAAAAAAACATTTTCTGGGTTGGTTCTGCAACGTCCTGTAAAGGATACACAACTAACTAATCTTCCTCAGAGACGCAGTAAAAGAGAAAGTCAAGAATAAGATAACTATTTGTGCAAGGCAAAATTTTCCCTGTGAAATTGATCATGTGGATGACAGTATGTAAAAGAAATATCTGCTCAGGTGGTGGTGTCCGAGATTTAAATTATTTGTGTTCGTTGATTGCAGGATTTGGGTATACTGTATTCCTATCTTCATGGAGTCGAGGCTCTCTCAGGATTGAGAGAGCATGCACTCCAGAGCTTGTGTTCAATGGTTCGTTATGAACATCATGAGGCCAACGATATAATTTATCAGTAAGTGTTTATATTTGTTTATTTGCTGTCCCTATGTCTTGCATGTGGGGGAGCGGGAAGGGGGGGGGGGGGTAGGTATAGACCAGGGCCATTCAACTGGCGGCTCGTGGGCGGACTGGCCCGCAGAGGCCTAGTAAGTGGCCCGCTGATCATTGCCAGTTGTATTAATGATCTGTCAACACTGGAGCTCAAGTCTCTGGCCCATGACGATTCTTATTTTCAACAGTTTGGCTCCTGATTAAACTTAGCTGAATAGCCCTGGTATAGACAGTAAGGCCACACATTGAGGGGGCAAGGGGCTACGTGTTTTTGAGGCATGGCATCCGCTAGAGTGCTGGAGGCCCCGTTCAAGGCTGGGATTTTTTAAAGTGGACTCCTAGTAATTTTCCCTGGTCTCTCGGTAGGAAGATCAGACACCCTGTGTATTGTTGCACACATAAAAATTCCCTTGGCAGTTTGAAATCTAAATAGAAAAAGAGTAGCCTAACGGCGCTTCTTCTTCTTCTCTTCCACCTTGTACCTCATCGAAATGTCGGAAGGGGGGGGGATGTTATATTCCTTGATGAGCTCTGTCAAGAGCACTATTAAGACTGATGTTCATTTCTGTAAGGCTGTTCTTAATGCCATCACTTCATATTTTCCTAGGTCTTCCACTCGCTCTATACCCGTTGTAACGTTTTAGTGTGGCTCGCTGTGGCAGATAATACAAGGGCATTCTTGTTAGGTGTCCAAACCACTTCATTTGTTGTTCTTTGATGACCTGTAAGACTTGCTTTATTCCTAGCATTCGTCAGATTTTGTGATTTCGTATTCTGTCTTTCCTAGAAACTTCTGCAGCCCTTCTAAGGCATTTCATCTCTGTTGTCACAATTTTACATTCACTGGATGTAAGTGTCCGTGTTTGGCACTGATAGCATAGTGTTGGCCAAAAAAAATAGTCCAGGCAAAATTTGGAGTTAAAATTCTACTTAAAGTATTTCAGGATCCTCGCCGGTGCTACAGAGTATGTGCACTGCGATGAGATTCTTCGGACTCAGGCTTGAGCTAGAAGTAGAACAGAACATTTATCGGTTACTACCCTAGTGCCATAATGTTGATCTGTTGTTTTAAAAAAAAATTTACAAATTTTCAATTAGTTGCCTATATCAGTTTACCTTTGAACGCCCGAAAGAAACCCTAAAACGAATGCTGGAGAGCACAGTGCTGGACCAATTTCAACCATGAAATCAAAGGAATTGCATAGGATAGAATGGAATGGAGGAATAGACTATGAGCTTTAGGTAAGATATAATGGTGCAATAAGACAATGGTGATGAAAACAAATGATGATATCCTTTTGCACTTGCTTCAGACATGTAGCATTTAGCTCGATATGTAGCATTCAGCTCGATATGTAGCATTCAACTCGATATGTAGCATTCAGCTGGATATGTAGCATTCAGCTGGATATGTAGCATTCAGCTGGATATGTAGCATTCAGCTGGATATGTAGCATTCAGCTGGATATTTAGCGGACTAGGATTCGGCTGACCTGCATTGCTTCAGTTTTGGTAGTATTTATTTTCTTGTTATGTATTCTGCATGTTGAACTTAACCTGTTCTTATGTTCTTGCAGATTGTTCAGGCTGCACCTGCTCATTTATTGTGATATAATTCTTCCTCTTCATTTTTTCGGTAGTATTTATTCTTCTATGTTATAGTAAATTCTGTCTCACCTCATGATTGTAAACATTAACTTCTGCACTTCTTTATGTTCTTGCACCTCTCCTCCCATTCCACAGAAATAAAGTTGTTCTATCAACACGTACCCTCACAAGATCTAGCTTGTCATACATCAGTTCACCACCACGTGGTGCAGAGCTGGCCGGTCTATCTCCCTGCTCATTTCCCAACTGCTCAGTCCCTGCACTCACGACCTAAAGTGATAAGAACCCTACATGAGTCTGAAACTTGCTGGGACACTTTGACCCGCTCCTCTCCTCGCCTACATTTATCAAGCCTGCACACACGTTTTATTATGTCTTCAGCCTGCGCCATCGAAGACCTTCCTCTCTTCAGTCGGTAACCTTTAGTTCTATTCAGGACTTTATGCGGGAGGTGCTTCTTGTCTGCAGCTACTCTGAGATATGACTTTGCTTGCAGAACTGAGTTCATCTGCAATAATAGGCAGTTAGTTAGTTAGTTGGGTTATCATCATTGCACTCCGGACATGTCCATAGGTGCTCAGATCCTCCCCTCAGTATGAACCCAATGTCCGATGGGTAATAGTACCAGTTCTATGTTGATTAACAAGTCTTCTGGTGTGTCTGGTGTGCATCTCGTTTTTTGCTGTGCTGATCTTAATTCCCAAGTCTATCATTCTGGCGAGTGATGTGGACTCACTGCCCCCAAAGTCCTCTATCCTTCCCATTTCACTGAGGGCATTAATAATATCAGCATGATCCATAGGCTGACCGCTGGTAGTGATGGCGGATCCAGCCAACCTGTCAGCTCTTTCATTTCCATCGACACCTGTGTCTCCTGGAACAAAAATAAAGGTGACTCTACGCACAGTGGACTTCTGTAATGATACAATAATAGGCAGTGCAAGTATATATCGCATACATACTACCAGGGTATCTCTTGTACATCCCAAAATTACCTGCATGGCTACATTCTGTATGTGTTCAAGTTTAATCAGCTGCCCCTTTGATATGTTAAGTTGTCCATACTCTGTTACAGAAAGGATCAGATGCTGGAACATGGTGAACAACGTTCTTTTATCCATGTTCATTGCTGCCATAATCTTGAGAGCATTGAACTCATTCTGGCATTTCACTGCAACTGCCTCCACATGATTCCTGAAGGCTTCTGTCAATTTACTTTCTCTTTTGAATCAAATTGATGTTTCTGTCATTAATTGTGATGCTTGGAACATTAGCTTTTACAAATATATTTTCCAGAGAGCATCATTAAACATCCTCTTTTTCTGAGTTGTTGACAGCACCCATCCCTGCACACCAGTCACTTTGTCTACAGTTGCCTGTAGCTCTTTGTTGTTCAAGCCAGGCAAACGCTTGCGTCACTGCCATCACCTCAAATCGTCATGATGCTGGTTGTCATGGAGAAGGCGCCGTTGGCTTCTTTGACTGTTCTGCCCGCTGAGCGTGCTGTAAATGCACATGCGCTTCTTCTTTGCGTATAAACTGATCCGTCTGTGGGTGTGCTCTGCTTCGTCTGTTTGTCACCGATGAAGCGTGACCTCTGCATTAACAGCAACAGGATTATCTTCTCTACATCGCCTGTTGAGTGTGACAATACAGGTAAAATGTACAAATAACGCCTGAGGCACTTAGCCTGTACCGAATGATTAGTCGGTTAGGCTGATATTTCTAATAACATCTTCTGCCCGACCTAGCCACGATTTTCCCCTCTTGTCTGTCGCCCTTTTCACTGAAAAGCGCTTGATTCTGGGTGTTTCTTATCAGCACATATTTTGAGGTATGTCCTGATCCTAATGAAACAGCTCTCATTGCTCCACAAGATGTGTCCTTGTACATCCCACGCATGGCTTCATTCACCGATGTTCAATCTGGGTTGACCTCATGGCATTCAATGGGGGAAAGGACCACCTGACCAGAGTCTTTTGGCGATTCGATATATCTTACATTTGAGTTTCGCATGTCGTTGTCCTAATGAACAGCTCTCACACACCACATCACGCAGACTTCACCATGCAGGTTCCTCATGCATTCACTGACCAGAGTCGGCTTCGATATATCTTACATTTGAGTTCTGTCGTTGTCCTAATGAACAGCTCTCACACACCACATCACACAGACTTCACCATGCAGGTTCCTCATGCATTCACTGACCAGAGTCGGCTCCGATATATCTTACATTTGAGTTCTGTCGTTGTCCTAATGAACAGCTCTCACACACCACATCACGCAGACTTCACCATGCAGGTTCCTCATGCATTCACTGACCAGAGTCGGCTCCGATATATCTTACATTTGAGTTTTGTCGTTGTCCTCCTAATGAACATGACTTCACCATGCAGGTTCCTCATGCATTCACTGACCAGAGTCGGCTCCGATATGTCTTACATTTGAGCTCTGTCGTTGTCCTAATGCAGCTCTCGACATCACGCAGACTTCACCATGCAGGTTCCTCATGCATTCACTGACCAGAGTCGGCTCCGATATATCTTACATTTGAGTTTTGTCGTTGTCCTAATGAACAGCTCTCGCACACCACATCACGCAGACTTCACCATGCAGGTTCCTCATGCATTCACTGACCAGAGTCGGCTCCGATATATCTTACATTTGAGTTCTGTCGTTGTCCTAATGAACAGCTCTCGCACACCACATCACGCAGACTTCACCATGCAGGTTCCTCATGCATTCACTGACCAGAGTCGGCTCCGATATATCTGGTTGATCTTGACATCACACTTTGTCGTCAGGTTCTCCTTTTGCAACAAGCAATTTCACGTTGACATTCTTTAGCTCAGTCTCCCATCCTCTCACTCCAACAAGTCGACACCAACTAACTTGATCAGAATCAAGTCTGACTTATACCACGGGTTAGTTTCACGTGGCAACACGTGGTAGTCCTTTACCTCCACGTGGCGACATTTGGTCGCGTCATCGTGATCCTCGTTTAATCCGAGTATCTGGAATATCTCGGTGTTTTGGGTTATTCTTGGGCCTACCCCCCAACCTTCCTAATCTGGGTGAAAATATCCCCCATTGCAGTAACTACCCAAATCTTTTGGCAGGAGCTCTTCCTTTTCCAAAAAAATATTTGTAGTTTAACAGCAATAATCTTCTCTAGCACCTCGCCAAACGTATTTTGCTGGGTGATAATCCTGAAACTTGCTGAATTTGGAATGATCTTTGCCTGGTTTTAGAAGTGAGATTAGATAGCTGTGTACCCATTACTTGGGCACTGAAGCTGTTCTGATGCTCTGGTTGAAGTGAAATGCCAACTCCCTCAAGTCTTCATCACTCATG